GAATGTGTACAAGATGGGTGTCTGTTGGAGTCAACTAGAAATTGGTATCTTTTGGATTCGGTGTTAGATAATGAGAAAGAGCTTCCGTACCTACACTCACCTTTACTAGCTTCATCCCCGCCTCCTTGACCTGTCCTTCTTCTCTCTACCTATCTGCTCCACTATCCACCTTCTATCACCGCCTCCCCCTCTCTCTATTTATTTCAGAGCCCCCTTCCCCTCCCCCATTTCTGAAGAAGGGTCCAGACCCGAAATGTCAGCTTTCCTGCTCCTCTGATGCTGCCTGGCCTGCTATGTTCATCCAGCTCTACATTGTGTTATCTCTGACTCCAGGATCGGCAGTTCCTACTATCTCTAACTAATAACCTTGTTGTGAATAGATAAATGCGTATAATTCTTTTCTAAACTCGGATCTTAACATTGAAGAAGGAAAGTTATGAAGGTATGAAACACATTTATTGGGAAATACAGTAAAAGATTTGATGGTAGGCAAGCAAAATCTAGTATTTTCAAAAATACTGCATTGTCTCTAACAGAAATACCTTCCCTGTTATTAGGGTTTGTGATTTAAAAATCTAAATCAACTGTGCTTAACAAAATAATTTAAAGATTGCATTAGGTCAAAGGAAGTGGCTTGAAGGATGCCAGAATAAGAAGTAAGCCTGAAGATTGGAAGCTGTTGAGAACACACCCTTCCCAGTGCCCAGTGTCATCAGCATCTCTTCCCACTCCCATTCCTTCAGGTACCACCAGACCTTGATAGATCTATTTCCTTCAGCCATGCACTCACCTCAAAGCTGCTTCAATCACAAACTGTCTGTGTGCTGCAGATAAGTTCGTTATGAATTCCTTAACAATTCCACCCACCCTGTTTACCAGGACTGCTTTTCTCCAATTTGAGACCCGTGATTAAATTTTCCTTGGCATTTTGGAAGCTTTTTGAGGGTGAGTTCTCCTGCCATTCCTCTGTGCGTTGAGTGTTGATGTGAGTATCAAGTATTTGAAAAGGTTTTTAACCTTTCACCACCGTGCAAAACACCAGCAAGGGCTGTTGGTAGTGTCTGTTGTTGAAATTCAATGGTGTCCTGGACGCAATATGTGCACCCAGATTTTTTGCTCCTTTCTAAAGGACAGCAGTCCTAATCTTCCTCATTAGCAGTTATTGTTGATGCTAATTATGCTGTACGATTATGTGGGTATGTAACCAATCCATGGATATAAATCAACTAATGTTCTGAGTTATTTATAGAGGCTGAACACCTCCCTTCGAGTACTTTACCCAACCCCACTCCCTGGCTCTATCATTACATGGGCTGCTTTCAGAACAGCCAACCCATTTATGATACCCCATATCAGCTTTTCACCTTCCCTGGGTTACTATCAACCATCCCTTTGTCTGTCAAACTTACTTTCTCTCCCTCTAGGCTCCGTCTCCACCCACTGCTCACTCCTTTCTCCTTCAATCCCTGCTATCAGCATAAATACCACCTTTTCCTACCTGCTACCAGCTCTGAAGAAGAGTCACTGGACTGGAAACATTAACTCTGCTTTCTCTCCACAGATGCTACCAGACCTGCTGAGTTTCTCCAGAAATTTCTGTTTTAGTTTCAGATCTCTGGCATCCGCAGTCCTTAGCTTTATATTATTGCTAAATGAGCAACATTATTTTTAGATTTCGTAATTTGGATAGATATTGGTATCAGCGAAAATCCTTCTGTTTCTATGAGGCCAAATGGAGGATGTGCAAAAATGGATAAACATTCTGGGAATTTGTTACACCAACATTGGAGCTATTTTGAGTTATTTTGGAACATTTGCTAAGAGATTTGAGTGCTGGAAAAGAGACCTCAATAGAGCTGATTACATATGGTTTGTATTTTCCCCAACAATTCATCTTTCAACTTTTACAGCTTGTTTCACAATCAGATATTAGTAAGAATGGAATGATTGAAAATACAATAACCTATAATTATGCCGTGAATACTTTTATTTCAACATATTATTTTTGGTGAAAAACGTTGAGAATATTTTTTTTAAAATTGCATTTAATCCTGCCAGTTTTCCTCTCTTTGTCTGAGAGCTATTTATCTGCTTTCTGGGTAGGGTTCTGGATAATGATTATTCTCTGCTAGCTCAATATTGTGAGAGATTGTGAGATAGGAATCTAGGACAGTATTCTCTCCAATCCATCAGCTTTCTGGTTTGCATGGTTTATCTGTTAATCAGATGGACTCTGTGAGGACTCAGGACTCAGTGAGCCCTGAAGCAGTGCATGGGCTGCGAGCCCCAGAGCAACATGGGGAAGATCCCCGCAGCAAAATGTGAGGAAGCAGCCCCAGAGCATTGCACATGCAGCGAGTCCCGGGCGGAGACTGCGATAGTGGGAACAAGCAGCCCTGGGGTGGTGACAGTGGGAACAGGCAGCCCCAGGGTGGTGAGAGTCGGAACAGGCAGCCCCGAGGTGGTGAGAGTGAAAACAGGCAGCCCCGAGGTGGTGAGAGTGGGAACAGGTAGCCCCGAGGCGGTGAGAGAGGGAACGGGTAGCCCTGAGGCGGTGAGAGAGGGAACAGGCAGCCCCTGAGGCGGTGAGAGAGGGAGCAGGCGGTGAGAGTGGGAGCAGACAGCCCCGAGGCGGTGAGAGGGGAACAGGCGGTGAGAGTGGGAACAGGCAGCCCCGAGGCGGTGAGAGTCGGAACAGGCAGCCCCGAGGTGGTGAGAGTGGGAACAGGCAGCCCCGAGGTGGTGAGAGAGGGAACAGGCAGCCGTGAAGCAGTGAGAGTGGGAACAGGCAGTGAGAGTGGGAACAGGCGGTGAGAGTGGCAGCAGACAGCTCTGAGGCGGTGAGAATGGGAACAGGCGGTGAGAGTGGGAACAGGCGGTGAGAGTGAGAACAGGCGGTGAGAGTGGGAACAGGCGGTGAGGGTGGCAGCAGACAGCCCCGAGGCGGTGTGAGTCGGAACAGGCGGTGAGAGGGGAACAGGCGGTGAGAGTGGGAACAGGCAGCCCCGAGGCGGTGAGAGTCAGAACAGGCAGCCCCGAGGCGATGAGAGTGGGAACAGGCAGCCCCAAGGCGGTGAGAGTGGGAACAGGCAGCCCCGAGGCGGTGAGAGTGGGAACAGGCAGCCCCGAGGTGGTGAGAGCGGGAACAGGCGGTGAGTGGGAACAGGCAGCCCCGAGGCGGTGAGAGCGGGAACAGGCGGTGAGAGTGGGAGCAGGCGGTGAGAGTGGGAACAGGCGGTGAGAGTGGGAGCAGGCAGCACCGAGGTGATGAGAGTTTGAACAGGCAGCTCGGAGGCGGTGAGAGTGGGAACAGGCAGCCCCTGAGGCAGTGAGAGTGGGAACAGGCAGCCCCGAGGCGATGAGAGTGGGAACAGGCAGCCCCTGAGGCGGTGAGAGTGGGAACAGGCAGACCCGAGGCGGTGAGAGTGGGAACAGGCAGCACCGAGGTGATGAGAGTTTGAACAGGCAGCCCGGAGGCGGTGAGAGTGGGAACAGGCAGCCCCTGAGGCGGTGAGAGTGGGAACAGGCAGCCCCGAGGCGATGAGAGTGGGAACAGGCAGCCCCTGAGGCGGTGAGAGTGGGAACAGGCAGACCTGAGGCGGTGAGAGTGGGAACAGGCAGCCCCCGAGGCGGTGAGAGTGGGAACAGGCAGCCCCGAGGCAGTGAGAGTGGGAACAGGCAGCCCCCGAGGCGGTGAGAGTGGGAACAGGCAGCCCCGAGGCGGTGAGAGTGGGAACAGGCAGCACTGAGGCGGTGAAAGCAGGAACAGGCAGCCCCGAGGCGGTGACAGTGGGAACAGGCAGACCCGAGGCGGTGAGAGTGGGAACAGGCAGCCCCGAGGGGGTGAGAGTGGGAACAGGCAGCCCTGAGGAGGTGAGAGTGGGAACAGGCAGCCCCGAGGGGGTGAGAGTGGGAACAGGCAGCCCCCGAGGCGGTGAGAGTGGGAACAGGCAGCACTGAGGCGGTGAGAGTGGGAACAGGCAGCCCCGAGGTGCCAGTGAGGGCAAGGTCATGCCCTTGTGAGAGTGCAAGCCCAGCATGGCCAGGTGCTTATAGACTGTGAAATTGAACTCCTAACTTGCTTTCTTTATTTTTCTGCTTTGTACCAAGATTCTGTGCCTAGGTGCATTTGTACCTAAGATGGTGCCGTAAGTGGCAGCTTGTAAACTTTTTAGTGTATGTTGTGAGTGAGTACATGTGACAATAAAAGCTAATCCTAAAAAAGGCACCCAAAACGAATTTGTTTTCAAGAACAATGATAATATGCCACAGAAAGCAAACTCTTAATGTAGTTTTAGCAATAACCTGAGTCATATAATAGCTGGTTTGTGTACAGGTCAAGCTTGTCACTTCAAGAATACGTGTAGGAACTGAATTGGGACTAATATAAATTCATAATGTTGATGCCTAAAGGAACGTGCACTATTATTCAGTTTCTTCCTGTATTTACCTGTTCCAGGAAGTGAATTAAAAGCACATGCAAAGTGAATAATTGTGCCAAATTTTCTTAATACCTGATTTAATTTATATGTGGCCAGAGTTAATTTTGCTTTCAGTTCACAGAATGCCTCATTTCGTATCTTTGGGAATGGGTCTTTAATTTTACATAAGCACTTTGTTTGACTATATGTATATTCTATTTGGATAGATCTATTATTACTCCTATTATTGCTGTTAACAAGCCTACCTTTGAGGCGTCTGTATATAAATGGTTTAATAATATCAGGATAATGGTGAGGGCTACAGTACACAATTATAATGAAGAGGGATAGAATCCCTACAGTGTGGAAACAGGCCCTTCAGCCCAACAAGTCCACACTGACCCTCAGAGCATCCCACTCAGACCCATCCCCATATAACCCACCTAAACTACACATCCCTGAACACCATGGGCAATTTAGCATGGCCAATCCACCTAACCTGCACATCTTTGGACCGTGGGAGGAAACCAGAGCACCCAGAGGAAACCCACACAGACACGGGGAGAATGTCCAAACTCCACACAGACAGTTGCCCGAGGGTGGAATCGAACCTGGGTCCCTGGTGCTGTGAGGCAGTGGTGCTAACCACTGAGCCACGATGCTGCCCCAAAATGTGGCATTACGTGACTGGCAAATATTTGTGGTCAGCAAAAGCTAGTCACACTATCGAGAGCCTAATGGCAAAGATTGGGAAGAGGGAAAACTCTGTGCACAGATTATTTTGCTCTGAATTGGAGATGAGTCCAAGAGTAATATCTGGTTCTTGCCCTAGGAGTCGATTTAAGGCTGCTGTTGGCATTCTGTCTGGTGTTGCCACATGTCTTGCGTTTGTGAAACCAGCAATCAACAACATCTCATTGATGACATTAGGAGTTCCCTGTATAGCTCTTCTTGTGGCTGAGTTAAGAAGGTAAGCCATTACAAGCTGCCACAATGCAAATATAACTACTCTGCTTCACAGCAAGTGACGTCTTTCATTTAATTGTTTTTGAAATGGTTGATCTGTCATCATGTGTTCATATGTACTGATACAGTACTTGTGTCCAATGGATGCTTGTAAGGAAGAAAGTTTTTCTTATTCCGGTAATATCAATTCTATAATCCTATATGTGGAACTGAATTTTTGTGTTGGGCAGGAAGCAGGGGTCAGGATGTTTTATGATTGGGTAAAACAGTTCAGGATTTTTATTTTAAATGGAATGGAGCTTGAGAGGAGCAGGCGACAATAGAGGACAAGAAGTTGAGAGAGTGCTTCATAATGAAAATACCCTCTGAACACGCTTTATGAAACATTAAATAAAAATCACATGCAGCAGTCACTATGAGGAGCATTCTAGAGATTTCCGTCCACAGGAAAATCCGTCTTCTGCTGCAACTATACCCATATAGGTAGAGAGGGCCTGCAGGGTCAGCCGCTCTGCCTACCACTGGTGGCCTGCATCTTAGAATCAGATAATCCATACAGGGCTGAAAGAGGCCATTTGGCCCATCAAATCCACACCGATCATCTGAAGAGCATCCCACCCAGACCCAGCCACCCCCCCATCTCTGTAACCCCACATTTCCTATGGCTAACCCATCTAGCCTGCACATCCCTGGACACTTTGGGGCAATTTAGCATGGCCAATCCTCCTGGCCTGCACATCTTTGGACTGTGGGAGAAAACCGGAACACCTGGAGGAAACCCATGCAGACACAGGGAGAATGTGTGAACTCCACACAGACAGTCGCCCGAGGGTGGAATCGAGCCCACGTCCCTGGCGCTGTGAGGCAGCAGTGCTAACCACTGATCCACCGTGTTGCCCCCAATTAAATATACAGGGCAATTATACTGCCACCATTAATATTGGGAAACTGGAGATGGACTGGAAAACCCACATTGGGTTCTTTAAGCAAAGTTAATAAGTCACAGATCAGCTGTGATTTCATTGGGTGACAGAACATGGTCAACATGCTGACTGGCTGACTCCTGTTCCTGTGTTCTTAATGAGCCTAATTGGCTAAATGTAACACAGGGGCCCTGCCAGTCTTTGGCAGAAGTGGCCCGAACTGCCAACTGGGTTGGAAAACAGGCACACTGGCTAGTCCTAGACTTGTTTTCATGTTCCTTTCCACCTCCATTCCCAACCTCACAGCCTATAGCCTCAATCACAGTAGAATCAGATGAGAGTCTACATATATAAAGACAAAATACTGCAGATGCAGGAAATCTGGAGCAAATGTCGAGAACGCTGGCAAAACTCAACAAGCCTGGCTGCATCAGTGGAGAGAGAAACAGAGTTAATTGATAGGTAGAGAAGGAGCCCCCAGAGATATAGAAAGTCAGACAGACAAAGGGATGGTTGATTGTAAGCTAGGGAAAGAGAAAAGCTAATAATTGGACAATAAGTAGTTGAAAATGAGTTGGCTGTGCTGAAAGCAGTCCAAGTGATAACAGGACCTGGGATGTAGGAGTGGGTAAAAGGAGGTGTATAGGCCCGAAAATGATTGAACTTGATATTGAGTCTTGCAGGCTGCAGTGTCCCCAAACGGAAGATGAGATGCTTTTCTTCAAGCTTGAACTGGAACACTGCAGCAGACGTCAGACAGAGATGTTGGCGGGGGAACATGGTGGTGTTGTGGCAGGCAACTGAAAGCTCAGTAAAAACCAAAAGAAATGTGGATGCTGTAAATCAGAAACAAAAACAGAAGTTGCTGGTAAAGCTCAGCAGGTCTGGCAGCATCTGTGGAGAGAAATCAGAGTTAACACTTTGGGTCCAGTGACCCTTCCTCAGAACAAAAGCTCAAGGTCAATGTTTGTGGACAGAATGTAGGTGTTTCGCAAAGCAGTCACCCAGTCTACTTTTCACCTCCCCAGTACAGAGGAGACCACACTGTGGACAATAATTACAGTGGACAAGATTGAGTGAAGTGCAGGTAAATCACTGCTTCACCTGAAAGGTGTGCCTTCCCATGTCCTCTACCCACCCCAACACCAGATAACAACGAAGTGTATTATTTTGTGCCTTTAACACAGTGAATCATCCCAAGACGCTTCACAGAAGCATGATAGAATGAATTATGACTCTGAACCAGATAGGGAGGTGTTCAGGTGAGATGACTAAAGGCTTGATCAGAGACAAAGGTTTTAAAGAGTATCTGAAAAGAGGAAAGTGACATGGAGAGGCAGAAGGGTGTAGGAATTTGGGGCTTAGGCAACTAAAGACACAACCACCAATTGGGGGAGCAATTGTAATTATAATTGAGGATGAACAAGAGGCCAGAATTAGATGAATACAGACCTTAATGGGTTGTAGGTCTGGTGGATGTTACAGAAATGTTGAAGGACAGGCCAGGGAGAGGTTTGGTGACAAGCATGAGAATTTGAAGTCAGATAGGGTCCTGGCTGAATGCCTCATTGAAAAGATAGCACCTTCAGCAGTGCAGCAAAGCCTCAGTACTGTACTTGCGTGTCAATCTTAATTCTTGTATTTAAATTCTGCAGTAGAACTTGAATCCAGAAATGTCTGACTCAGTGATGAGAACAACCGGCTATGAAATGCAGAGTGACTTTTTCTTATATTACTAAATATAAACATTGTTAAATTCTTAGCCTTAGTTGTGCCATCCAATAAACAATGAGAAACAATTTCTGCACAGTTAATGCAAAACCAGTGATTTCTAGTAACAGATACCAGAGTAGCATTGAGAAATGACTGGAAAATTAATCCAATATATGGTAAATATGATAATGGACTTATGGACTAGAGGAAAGTGAGCAAAATGCTGTGATGGTTAGACCTTACCTATGGGGTGTGATGTGTATCTGACAGATATGAATTACGCTACTCTGGTTCATACATTATCCAGAAAAAACAAAATTGTGCTGTATAACTGTGGATTTAGACTTGGCATTAGCAAAATAGCAGCTGTTTTGACATGCTGCACTATTTTCTTATGCTTTGAAGTTCTCTGAGCTACCAAATCACCATTGCTAATTTGCTTATTATCTAAGATCAATTGCAAGTTAATGTAGATCATAATTAACTGACCTCACAGCGCTGACCCTTATGTCAGTCCACTTTTCTCTGCCAGCCAACTTAAAAATGGCTTGTTTCTGCCCATTCTCTGCTTCCTGCCTGCTAACCAATCTCTATCCATACTAATATATTCTCCCCAAGACTGTTGCCCTGTCCATCTCTTCATCATTGCTTTCTTGCTCCATACCATCTATTGCTGTGGTAGATCTACAAGGTGTAAGGTCAGAATTCAAAAGTGGATGAGCATTATATTCTTGGAATTCAGGAGACAGGAAAAGAATCATAGGCAGACTGGGTGGTTAAGAAGGCGTTTGGCATGCTTGCCTTCATTGCTCAGGCCTTTGAGTATAGGAGTTGGGATGTCATGTTGAGGTTATACAGGACATTGGTGAGGCCTCTTCTGGAGTACTGTGTGCAGTTCTGGTTGCCCTGTTATAGGAAGAATATTAAAAAATTGGAGAATTTTCAGATAGGATTTACCAGGTTGCTGGGAATGGAAGGTTTGAGTTATAAGGAGAGGCTGGGTAGGCTTGGACGTTTTCACTGGTGTGTAGGAGATTGAGGGCTGACCTTATAGAGGTCTGTAAAATCATGAGGGGCACAGATACGGTGAATAGCAAAAGTCTTTTCCCTAGAGGGGTGGTTCAAAACCAGAGGGCATATTTTTCAGGTGAGAGGAGAAAGGTTTAAAAGGACATACGGGGCAACTATTTTACACAGAGGATGGTCCACGAGCGGAATGAACTGCCAGAGGAAGGAGTGGATGCGGGTACATTTAAAAAACATTTTGATAAGTACGTGACTAGGAAAGGTTTCGAGGGATATGAGCCAAACACAGGCAGGTGGGACTAATTTAGTTTGGGATCATGGTTGGCATGGACGTGTTGGGTCTGTTTCCATGCTGTATGACTATGACTCTAAGCGGAAAGTTGACTGTATGATGAGTCACGGTGATGCCCAGAGAAAGTGTCAGTGCTCAGTTAATAACCGAGAGATGCCACAAAATTCAACCTCTCCCACAGCAAGAGCAGACAGCTTCCTTACATTCGCTGTAGCTATCTTGTCGAACGAGGGAAGGTGATTAAGTTTGGGTACTTACCCTCCAATACACTACTGTGTTAGATAGTGTGCAGCAACTTGTCCTGTAGGAAATTAGAGTGAATGAGGGCAGTGCTAGCAGTTGAGTGTGTGCTGGGTGACGTTGGAGATGTGCAGTAAACAGTGTAGGGATGTGAAGACAGTAAATTAAGTTCATTTTAAAGTTGTGCATGAAAGTAATTATTTGGAGGGTAACCTTCTGGCGGTATTGAGTTGGACCCTGCCCCTTAACCAGGAAGCCCTGTGAATTGGAAGTGTGTTGCATTAGAAAGATGGTGTACAGTGTGTTGGCACGAAGAGTGACCAAGGAGAAGAGGGAAAAACGTGCAGTTGGTTGATCTTCCTTGTGTGGCTAAGGACATTGTTTGCAGCACTCTTCTGCCTTCCTGGGGATGAAAATGTTGATAGTCATTGCCCGTAGTACGTCCAGGTAATTATTGAATGACTTAGGTGTACCCAGGAGATTTTTTTCCCGTCCTCTCAATGAGAGTCATTGGGTGTATTTAAGACAGATCTATATAGGTTCTTGATTAATAAGGGGATCAAGGGTTATGGGGAGCAGGGAGAAGAATGGGGTTGAGAAAAATATCAGCTATAATTGAATGGTGGAATAAATTCAAACGGCCAAATGGCCTAATTCTGCTCCTATAACATATGGCCTTATGGAGGTGTGAATGATTGAAGCTAAACATACTTCTTTCAAAGCTTGGTTTTCCCTGGAGCACAGTTTGTGCATGTGTGACCATAATAATGTACAAAATTACTGGCAGAATATACAGTGACTTCGAGTGAG